ATTAGATCAAATTTAATCTTTGAGCACAACCCCAACATTTACATCTGTTTTAGAAATGAGGCTTCAGTTCCTAAAGAACCCTGAAAAGTCTTGTCCTATGTCAGAATTTAAAGCACCCCACTAGGGGAGAACCCATCACACCCCTGCAAGTCATTTCACTGTTAAACTACCTGCACTGCCAAGAAGTAACAGAGGACAGAGTCTAAATTTGTCTGGCTTCAGCTTTCAAAAACTGCATGATCTCTTATTGGTACATGGTAGACAGCAAGGATCCCTGACTAGTTGGATAATCCATGCTTCTTGCAAGAAGCCTCCTCGTTTTGTGACTAGGAAAAGATAAAACCCACAAATTATCTCACTGTCCATTTATACACTAATTACTTGATACAGAGGTACCATATATGCATGTGAGAGCTAATGGTGCACCTGGGTGACCGACTGAAGTGCACCCAAGTCCATGGTACAATGGAAGGTTGATTCCACATCCCCCCTCTGCCACATGGCCAACCTCTTCGTTTGGGCAGCAGCATTTGCACAGCCCCATCAACAGCTGGTTTAGTAAACTGACAGTTTTGTTTTGTAGACGAAATTTCAGGCTTCCTGGTCCAGCAGTCTGTGACTGTACAACTCGACACCAGCGTGGAGGAAGGCACTGGCCAAGGGGCAGAAGAGGAGGGAAGGTGAAAGGTGCCTTGCAGTCACAGCCTCACCATAACCTCACCCTGGCTAATTAATCACACAGTCAGTGCTAAAAGATCTATTCCTGCCCTACTAAGTTACAGCCGCTTCAAACCATATTTTTCTTCCCTAGTTATATGGCAAGAGTGTTATGTTCATAGCTTTAAATATAACTATCTAGGGACTCCCAGAGACATGTATTTTTATTATGTTTTTCTTTTGGACTTTATTCACAAAGCCAGCAAGGATAAGAGCTAAAAATTTGAGATTTGAAAGAGGAAGGGAATTTAAATCAGCAATAGCCTTTCAAGGAATTTTGGTGAAACATCAGAATCTGTAAACAAAGGCTAGAATGTAGATAGAATTTCTATGGTGTTTAAACTTTCATGTTTAGTAGAAAAAAAACACCCTGCTTGAAACAGACCCAGGATTTTTGAGAAGCTGATGGAAGTAATGGAGTGTGACGTACATAGCTAGGACAAGGAACCTACTGGAAGAAGCAAGCACAGTATCTTTAAGAAGCTGCCAAAACTTGCAGAAGGCTGACACAGGCAATTTCCTTTAAACTGAAGCTACAAGCAAATGGAACAGATGGGTGGCTGTTGAAGTTGTGAAGATAAGTGTCTTCTCAGCTGGTACATGAAATGACCAAGCAGGCAATGTTGAGAATACCTAAGTTATCAAGAGCTTGGTGTGCGTGCTATATGAAGGTGCAGTCACCTTTGTTCAGATGATCACATTAAATCTTAAAACCAGAATCATTTCACATAGAACGACTTTTACAGGAAGAGAACAAAAATCTACCAGTTAAAGTCACTCTTTACAATATAAACAGGTACAGCTCCAAGGAAATCAAATGCTGCTTTGGAAGGATATGTAGAAGTCACTCAGCGTATCGCAACTTCAGGGCAGCAGTTCTCTTCAGACCAGTAACTCTCAGCATCATGGAGGTCTCACTACCTCTTCCAAAAACAAGGAGTGACAACAGTCTGTGGTGACAAACAATCTTTTCCCAATGCAGAACTTGATAAAGGTACCAGACTGAGCATTTTTAGTGTTGACACCTAAGGCAGTATTGAACTTGCTTCATAGTGGACGGTCGTTGATAGTCACTATGACCAGGAGCACCTGCTGCTCTTGGTTGCCCAGTGTTATGGGACAAATTTTTACTGAATTTCTGAACAGGTGAAGGCAGCTCCAGAGAGTATGCAGCCTCTGAGGCATCAGGGCCAGAGGCTGTTCTGTACATGATGCCCTCAGAACATAGTCTGAAAGAGAAGAAACAGTGGACGTGTGTATTTGGGATGGATGTCACGGAATTAAAAAAAACCCAAACAAACCACAACTGAGAAGTAGATGTGTTACTGGGGAAGCTGCTGGAATAGAAAATTGAGGCATTCAGAGATCTGCCAGCATCAGCAAAAACTTTGCCCCAGCTTTTGAGTGCACCTACTGACTTTGGAAATTTTGCCAGTTGCAAGAGTTACAAGCTTGCCAGACCCATCAAAAAATAAAACTGCAAATTAACTTTTAATGGTGGCCCTTTAGTTGGTTTAAAAAAAACCAACAAACCCACCACCACAAAAAACCCCCAACCAAACAAAATCCATTTGTGTGATTTAAAATCTATTTGGTAGATAACCCCATGGTATCTTAGGTTGAAGACAATGAAGAGATATAAAAAACCTTTAAGTAGAATGCTCCAGAAAGTATTAAGGGATACTGACAACTAGCCAATAGTCAGCTGGTTAACACAGACCGCTGAGGTATGGTAAGCATGATTCAAGTTCTTGTTCTGTAAGGCTCAGCAGGGGAACTTGAACTCCATCTTCCATCAGGATGTCTCTAGTTCACTCAATATTTTAATATTCAGAGAAATGAAGGAGTTCCAAGAGAAGTAGGTGGAAGAAAAAACAACCACCATAACATTAAAAAAATAGCGAAGTGGTTTAGAAATGTATTTGGGTTGTGGGGTAGCTATGTTATTGCACTAAAGGTGGTAACAAACTGCCTTGAGCAAATCTCTCCATAAAACACTTTCAGGACATACTGTTCCATCATGGTACAGAACAGTATTTTTTTCCCTGAGCTCTAAATTTGCACTGGGTAGGAAAGTATAGTTGCATTATACATATGTCAAGGTTCAAGTTGGACAACAAGCCTAACTTCTGAACAAGATGGTTGTGCCTTCTGCACCTAAGGGAAAACTGATTCCTTACCCCTCTTCCTTCCTTGTGCTCAGGAAGGGCTCTGGTAGACAGAATGCATGAAAAACTTGGAAACTGTAAACATTCAGTGCCCAAGTTGTGCTTAAATATAGCAGACCACTACTGTACCTGTAAAGCATAACAGTAATTTAGAGAACAGGCACTTGAAACTATTAAGCAAAGAAAAAAAAAAAATCCAGACAAAGACTGACAGTGATGTGGCCTGGCAGAAACATCTATTTTGTTGAAAAGGAACAAGAAGATGCTGTTCTCATACCACCATGCAGCGAGTGAAGTGTGAGCAAGTTAACATAGTTTGTGGAACTGGCACTCCCCTCCTTTAAGTAAAAGGTGCTCTCCCAGTAGAAGATACTTCCTTTAATGCCTTCATATTATGGATTAATTTAATGAATGATCAAAGATACATTCCACAGACAAGAGCATTTTCCTAAATGTTATCCATCACTAAGGGGAATGATAGTAGAAGACCTTCTAAGCAGGTTAACTCTCATAGATTGTCATTTATCTTCAGGTTTGTATTTCTCTACTGTGATCATTAGACAACAGAGAGTGAAGAGGATCCAATACTTCGGAGCAGGAGCTTTGTCAATCATTGTAATCCATCAGAGGAGAGGTGCCTGTAAAACAGGCAAATATAAATTGTACTGTGGTACGAGAGGTACTACCAGCAGAGAGAGAGAAGAAGAAACAATGATAATGTGCAGTGGGGTGGGGGGCTTCCTTAGGAACCTCCTCAGCAATCTCACTACTGAATTCAGGTGTAAGGAAACAAAACCAGAACAGATGCAGGGGAGGACTCCAAATAGAATCAAAAGTCTAGAAAGTACCGATTGAAAACCAAAAAGTTCAGCCTGTTTAGCCTTACAGAAAAAAGGCTGAGAAGAAATATACAGTTTTGGTCTATGCATACTGCAGGGGACAAACAGGGAAAAAAAAAAAAAAAAGAAAAAAAAGAAAAGAGTCAACTTATCCTAAAACTGCATATGAAGTGCATAAACATTAGTGTTAGTAATATATAGGTATATATCAGCAGAATGTTAGCATAATATATATTAGTACAGCAGCAGAGTTAAGGTAGAAATAAAAAAGAGTAAACTTCAGACAAAGGAGTTTTTTTCTTTTTAGACTCAAGTTTCCTTAGGAAAAACATTATGTGGGCTCCTGCTTTTACAGTGTATTAAGCCTGGTAAATTGTTAGGTCCTTTCCATACTATTTATATACCTAAAATATAAGCACCTGTAAACACTTAAAACACACGAATCAGGGAAAGCTTACAGACATCGCTCCAACCAAATACATTTGTAAAAACAAGTTCCACAACAATACAAATAAAGGATAATAAAATATGGCAACTCAGATTTTTGGCAAACATTTTATAATTTTTATATAAAAATCTCAGTAAGAAACCAAGCAGAATATCTGACGGAAACATCTGCCTTACAACAAGTTCAAAAAAACTTCACAAAAGGAAAAAAGAGAAAAAAAAGAAAAAAGAAAAGTAAAATAATCCCCCCCCCGCCCCCAATCCTTTTTAATTATAAACCAGAATATCAACAAAACACTTAAAATAATCTCAGATTGTTTGGCAACTCATCACATCATAACAAGAGACACATTTGATCATAAGAAAAGTTTAACTTTATATACAATTTCACTTGAACATTTGCTCTTACCAGAGTTAATATACATTAAAAAAAAGAGTCTGGCAATAATACCAGGTTCTATTTTTAATACCTGTGTACAAAATGTAACATAAAATGCTGAAGCTCTATAGTGAGGAGAAGTGACATTTGATTTCAATGGGTCCCTCTTTGTTGAAACAAACAAAAAACAAAACCAAACCAAATACTAAAAGAATGGGTGTTTAGTTGCAAAATAAAACTGTTTCATTTCAGGGTGGTGTTGGCTGACTGTGAATAAATCTAACCTAATACTATTTATTTCTTGAGGTTGGTAGTAAATTCACAAGTGAAAATATAATCTAGTAAGATTACATTTTAAATTTTATACTTTGTCACAGATGTGAACAGAAAGGAGCCACGTCCCTTTCACTATGCTAAACTACTTTAATGCATGCGAGAAAAATACTTTACCAACTGGGCATATTTTAGAGAACTTCAGGTTTTAGCAGCCCTGGAGGAGCAGAGGGGAAGTTTCCTACTGACATCTGCATAGAATGTAAAATATATAATTAAAAAAACCTACGGTATATACTAAAGTTTACAGACCAATGCTTTCCATATAATAAATAAAATGTCCATTGTTGATTAGATTCATACGCAGAGTAAAATACAACCTATTTTTACAAGTTTATATACAAAGTGTATTAGTAGGCCCAGGGGTGCCTCATGGTTGGAAGCATCTGCATTAGCACGTCACATTGGGAAACCCCAACTTTCCAAGTCAGTGATAAAATATATAACTACTTTGTTTTCATTCAGATACAAAGTAAACTTATTTTTCATCTGAAATAAATGTACATAATATTCTGTATAAACAATAGTTTATAAAGCTGTTTAAAATGTAACTTAAAAGTACTGCATTGATTAACTTAGAGCTCTGAAACAAGCACGTGCAAATCCCTTTGCTTTAAAAAAAAAATAGAAGCACAGATGGTTTTTGTCTTTTGACTCTTTCGTGAACAGTACTATCTGGTAAAGATTATCGTTTTGCTTTCTTTAGTGGTGTCTCCTCTGTTTTCTGCTGGCCTTTTCTTCGTACCACTGTTGGGCTGTCTTCTCTTTTGCGCTTGGTAGACTGCACCTTTAACCTGAAAAGCATTAGTAATAACTATTTTAACAATGGTAGGATCTGCAAAACAAAAAAGGTGGTCAGACACAATCCTGTTTAGAGGATGGAATTTAACTGTCCATCTCTGATGAATTACCAGGATATATCATTTAAAAGCTTACTTCTAAAACATTATATACCAGCACAGACCATAGGGAGACCTTGCGCACTTCCATCACACTTAGCAGGGTACTGCTTACTAATCCTGCAAGTCTGAGAGTGCTCCAGATGTAGAATTTGGAGCTAGAGCTCTCCTCTTCCCCCTTACACTGTGATCTCAACTTAAAAAATTAAAAAGTGTACCAAGGAAGGAGGGAAACATTTTCAAAACTTGACATAAGGACTCTCAGAGTTTCTCCTCTTCTATAAGCTGATCTTAGAAAGATCTCTGAAGCATTAGAATCGTGACCATATGTTGCTTTAACCTGAACTACAGCTGCTCTCCTCCCCATTCAGAAAAGAATCACAACTCAAGTTAAAATACCGCATAACAGCACTTTCAGATTCTCCCAAAAGGTTTCTGAAGAAAGAAAAAATTCTAGTCTTCCAAATGTTAAAGAAAGGAAGAAAAAGAAAAAACGTAAACAGAAGAAAATCCTTTAAAAGCTTTTATATATCACAAGAGAACAGAACAGAGCAAAGCCAGACTGCTGTTCAGATTCTGAAGCAGAATATTACATATAGGGAAAGGATCAATGTAGTCTCTTCCAAAACAAATCAGTGAAGTGGATTCAACTTTAATACTTACTGTGTCAACGGAGGAGATTTATTAATTTTTGTATCACTTGGAGATCTTTTTTTTGCTGCTAGGTTCTGTTGTTTTCTAGGAGAAACTGAACTTGGACTGCCGCCTTTAGAAGTCGCACGTGTGGTTGGCTTGCTGGGCTGCTTTCTGTAATACAAAAGAATGATGAATGTATATATAACAAAATACTTCTACCAAGTCACTTTCTTGCATTCCAAGTGCAGAAAATTTAGACTGCACAGTATTTGCAACAAGTAAATCAAAGCTGCCAAAAGAAACAGTGAAAAAAAACATTTGCATGTTTCAAGATGCAAACTGCAATGCCAAGCTGTGTATTTTCATATCGAGGGTAGCATCAAAAGGCTACTTTATTGACAATATTTAGTACTTAACTAAATAAAAATCCTAGTTCCAAAAATCTGCAATACTGGTACATAAGTGTTCATGTTTAAAAAAACTAGCTTGTAGTACCAGCAGAGAAACAAAAGAAGCAAAGGTAAACAGGCTGCAGAAGAAAAGATAATTTGCTTATCTGGTGTGAAGAAAGAACTCATATTAGCTTCAGCATTCATCAGCTCAGAAACATGAGAAACTGGTTACTGATGATTAACTTCATAGTTTGGAAAAAAGGTTACTTAAGTGAGAAGAACTGATAAACCAGCAATGAAGAAGATGAAGAAGCAGCCCCTTAACACAGAATTATTCCCCAATGCTACTTATAAAATGCAGACTGTTTGCGGCACCTTAACAGAGAGATACTTTGTTACACTTGGAGCTAGAAAGACAGCATTGGAAACCTCATATACAAAACAAACAAACCTATAAATTTAAAAAACATATGCTTCCACAAGCAATCAGAATGAAAACACTAATATTTAAACTTTTATTACAATTTTAGAGTTAACAATTACACGAGACTAAAGGAAGTCCCTTTGCCTTTACTAAAATTGTTGTTCACTAAGTGGTAGTGGTAAACCTTCACAGTTTTTATTTAATGAAGACTACATAACAACTTTCTGATTCATCTCTCAACCTGTTTTTTTGGCTGGGACAGAGCTAGTTTTCTTCTTAGTGGCTGGAATAGCGCTGTGTTTTGGTTTCAGTATAGATTTGTTATAAGAAGAATGTTGATAACATACTAATGTGTTCAATTGTCGCTGGAAGACAAAGGACTTCCCAACTTCCCTGTGTTTTGCTACTTCGCAGGTGCAAGGGACTGAGGAGGGTGAAAATTAAAATTAGTAAACCTAAATTGGCATTTGGATATGCCAATGGGATATTCTGTATCATACAATGTCATGTTCAGTATATTCCTGAAGGTCTCTGTCTCTCTCTCTCAGGCTCTTGCTCCTCTGTGATTATGGTTTTGGTTTCAGGATTGCTGCTCCTGCAGGATCGTTATCCAGGAATGGGTGAGCAATTGAGCTGTGCAACACTCATTTGTATATTTTATTATTACTATTATTACCATTTTTGTTATAATTATTATTTTAAATTCTATTTTATTTCAGTTACTAAGTTGTTCTTATCACAATCTATGAGTCTCCATAGCCTTACCCTGCCAATTCTCTCCCCTATTCCCTGGGTGGGGGAAGAGGGAGTGAGCAGCTGTTTGGTATTTGGCTGCTAGCCAAGTGAAACCACCACAGCTCTGAAATGATGAATTCAAGACCACACTGTGAACAGTGCTTCAAATGGGCCCCCAAGGCTAACAAATAATACAATATCCTTAGGAATGAAGTAAATCTGATGAATGTACAGAAATCTCACTACAAACATAAAAACAAAACCTGGGCTATAATTCTCTTCTGCAAGGCAGCAGCATGAATTAAAACTTCCTAAAGCTGCTATCTTTCTTTGTTTCCACAACAAAGTCAAGAGGCTGAATCACAGAATCACAGAATGTTAGGGATTGGAAGGGACCTCGAAAGATCATCTAGTCCAGTCCCCCTGCCGGAGCAGGAACACCTAAATAAGATCACACAGGAAGGCATTCGGGCGGGTTTTGAATTTCTGCAGAGAAGGAGACTCCACAACTTCCCTGGGCAGCTTCTTCCAGTGCTCTGTCACCCTTACTGTAAAGAAGTTTCTTCTCAAGTTTAAGGGGAAACTCCTGTGTTCCAGCTTGTACCCATTGCCCCTTGTCTTATCATTGGTTGTCACCGAGAAGAGTCTGGCTCCATCCTCGTGACATTCGCCCTTTACATATTTATAAACATTAATGAGGTCACCCCTCAGTCTCCTCTTCTCCAAGCTAAAGAGACCCAGCTCCCTCAGCCTTTCCTCATAAGGGAGATGCTCCACTCCCTTAATCACCTTCATGGCTCTGCTATAATTCAGTTTGCCTAAAAAAAGGCAGACCTATGCTAATGGAGTTGAAGAATGGCTGCTTGAAAACAGAACTCTTCCTACCACACTAGTCTTTTGCAGCAAAATTGCTTTCTGAGCTTAGAGATCACCATACGAGAAATTAAACCCTCCAGTACTGCAGATTCACGTATTTAACTTGGATAGTACTTGGGAAAAAGAAATGGGCATGGATAATTATATTTTCACCTTGTTCCAACCCCAAATATCAAATGGTGAATTGCACAGTCAAGTCAGAGGTCCCTTTTTACCTATCAGAACTAAGTGCCTTTAGACTCAACTACTGAGTCATCACTAGGATGAAGACTGTCAACAAGATCAATTCTTACCTTCTGACATATTCAAATATCTCTTTTGAGACCCTAACAGTTTTCCCACCTCCTCTTTTGTCTGTTCACCCTTAGAAGAGCAGTACAAGTATTAGAACCAAAACTATTGGGGAAACTCTCATTTTAAAAAAAAAAAAAAAAAAAAAAAAAAAAAAAAAAAAAGGCAGCAAAAATCACCTGAACAAATCAACCCCACAACAATTAAGAACAATGTAGAAAAAAGCCTGCTATTGGTGTCTCTACACATGGTTACCTTTGAGCCTCTAATCTTGTGGCTGATCTAGTTGTGGCCCCGGAATGTGCTTCATCATCTTCCTCATCATCCTCTTCCTCACCTTCCTCCTGCTCTTTTAGTTCATCTTCAGAAGATGTCAATTTCCGACGTTTTCTTTCTGGCTCCAGTGTTTCTGCCCATGTAAAATTTTATATATCTGCTATAAGTTTCCAAAAGCCCTCCAAAAGGATATGGACACTTAGTTTAGAAAAGGTATTCTATTCACAAATCCCACTTTAAGTAAGTAATTTTCCATTTCCTTTATGCTTCAACATTTTTAATTCACACTTGTTTGACTTAATCTTGCTAATACATTCACCATAGTTTACTTATGCTGCTCGTAGCCAGAATTCATAGAAAATTCATGAGGCTTTATAGAAGCATCTGGGATGTAGCAATTCTGACATGAGATTACAGCAATTTACACATATTTACATAATATTTACACTAGCTGTAACTCAATGATTTTTCCTCAAGAAAGGAAAATTGAATAAAGCTTATCTTGTTGCTATTAGTAAACAGAAAGACACAGTAATATCGTCCCATTCTGTCAGGAGTAGAACAGTTTCATGTTTTTACCAGTTTCCTCTGATTGAGCCAGAGAACGCCTGGGCTTTCTCCCCCTTTTACGCACAATCATTTCTGCTTTCTCAGCTTCATCTTCCTGAAAAAATAAAATGGAAGCAAGTAAGACAAGAATAATTTAATTTAAATAGAAGACAGATATTTTTCATTACATCCTGCTTATAAACTTACAAATTAAAATGGCTGCACTTACATTTGTTGTTTCTTTCTTATCAGATATGTCTGTACCTAAAACCAAGGAAAGAACAAAACTTAATCCTGAACTTCAAATCTTTTGATAACCAGTTTAAAAAGGAGTTCTTCTGAACACCATCAACTTTGCATATACACCACAGCAGCTCAGAAATCCAAATTTAAAGTCTGTATCTAATTTAGAATATGGGTTTGTTGTGTTTTTTTTTTTTTTTTATATACAGAGACTGACACTTTTTTTTTAAAGTAGTAGATATTTATATGACTGACATTATTTATTGCTTTGTGGCATAAGCTGTTTTGTTTTAATAGAAAAGCAGAAGTTACTTACCCCTTTCAACTACTGTCAACCAATTACAGAAACACAGAAAAACTTAGCTTGGAAGGGGCTTCTGGAGGTCATCTAGTCCAACCTCCTGTTCAAAGCATGGTTAAATTAACTGATCTGATCATAGTGCTCAAGATCTTGTTCAATCCAATTTGAAAGTCTCCAAGAACAGGGTCCCTCCAGGCAATCTATTCTAGTGCTGAACTATACCCATGGCTAAGCACCAAGATGGCTGTAGTTCAAAAAGACAGTATTTAAAACCCATCTAATACCTGGTATGCAAATTACATCACTTTCTCTGCGAAACTACTTCTTACTTCCAATTCAGTACTTCTTACAGACTGGCCTGTGTATGTTAAATACATTTATAACTCCACAATCCATGCCTCAACTTGGCCTCTCTCTGTGGTAGACGCTTACCACTTCTACCCTGACTAACTCTATGATAAGAAAGAGTTTTGACAACACTTTTGAGCTTTGTCAGATGGAATTATCTGCAACACTGCAAGGATAAAAATTCTTAGCAATAGGAGAGAAGCAACCTAAACAAAAGAAAGTGTTTATACCCTTCTGCCCTGCCATAAAATTGCTGCCTATTTTTGTTTTCTGAAAGCTACACAAAAGATGACAAACTCTAAACCCACTATCAGTTAGACTGATAGAACAAACAGAAGAATGTCAATGCAACAGATCAAAAATAGATCTCAAAGAGCAGAAACATATTCTAAAATTCACACACAAGTTTTTTGTTTTTCCTTTGTTAAGGTCATGGGGAAAAACTTTTACACAAAAGCAAATGAAATATAAATATGTTTAACCATTCAGTAAAGAAAAGCAGTAAAACCTAGGACTGTCCACTGTATTAAGTATTTTACACAAAATAAGCCTAACATATAACCAACATTTATTAGTTCTGTTGTGTTCAAAAACCAGATACTTCAAAATTCTGGCAAATTTGTAGCAAAATGTTTTTTGATTGAAGAACACTCCATAGAAGCACAAGACAGGCGTTTCTTAATAGACACAATCCTCTCTTTAGGATGTGAAAATGTAGTACTTTCGCCTCAAGACAAGTATAAAAATAATAAGCTATAGTTTTTAAAAATCTTACTAACTTTGCAGCAGCAACCACTGGTAAGGGCAAAATAATTTTAGTTTCAAGTTCAGTGTCAGTGTTAAGGGAAGATTCTGCCTTCAGAAACCAAATACCTCTTAACTGTATGAGTTGCACTGACTGAAAAGAAACTCTCTGCTTCCCATTCTATATGCAAGTCTGTCCCTATCGCAAACCCTTATGCAGAACATCCAGAAATTACTAGAATTAGCAAACTACACACAGGAATCCCACTTTATTTTCTTTTCACTGCCAGGGGTTTTCAACTCCTTTTCTCACATGAGTGCTAACATACGATAAAAAAGTTTAACAGAATATTTCATACACTTTATACATTCTTCTTAATATTGCTGTGACATCAACATCCTTTTACCTGAAAAGCAAAATGTTACTTAACACACTAAATTAAGCTTTAAGTACACAGTCAGGTGCCTGCCCTTTTGAATAAAAAGCAAACCTGAATGCACTTTTACACCTTTCCCACATTCTTGTCTGTTCCCTTTGCAGTTGATAGAAACCAAGTACCACAAAACCAGCTGACCCTCCAGAGACAATTCTGAAGCATATGAATTAAAGCCGACATTTTAACAAACGCGGAGAAAATAGGAAATAGTCCATATGTGCAGTGCAGCCAGATTAATATCTCTGTAGAAACCAAAACTTTTGGAAACTCCAGAAGATTTGAGTTTTTTTTTAAACCCCTTTTCTCACATGAATGTTAACTTATGATGTTACGTCAAAAAGACTTTTCTCAGGTTTGTTGCATAAATGCTTATATTTATTTACAAACCATTTTTAACCTGCCTTTCAAGTTCATCTGCTTGGATTTCATTTCATCTGAATGGATTTTAAAGTCTATTTTATGAATGGTTTATGAATTAAAAAGACACATTTAAACAACCAGTGCAGTTCAGAGTCCATACACACGAAAAATTAACTATGCCATCTAAAATTCACCAAAGTTTGACCTCCTACAAATCACAGATGTTTGAATAGGAAAGAGAAATAGAAAAGTATCTAATTTTATTTGACTTTAGTCTGAAGCACTAAAAGTACATTTCTGAGCAAAGTTAAGTGATCCTCTTCTAAAGATCTTACAGCAGTTGTGAAGGGGGAAATATCTCCTCAAGCTACCACTAAGCTCTTCAGACACATATCCACATATAATCCAGTTAAGTGAACAAAATTTGAAATTTTAAAAGTTAATGTAGTAAGTGTGACTGATAGTCACCGTATGAAAGAAAATAAGCAGAAATGGAAAACAGTCTCTAAGAACAAGTTTGATGGAATAGCTACCTGCCTCTGAAGCTCTGCCATGTGCCTATCCACACAAACAAATTACTTGGTATATTCTGTAATGCATTACTCAACAATTTACAGCGCTGCTGCATCTTTGAAGTAAGTTCTTATCAAGCTGCTCTTTTTTAAAATTAAAACTCAGTAGGAATTACAGACAAGTTTTCACTGTTCTTCAGTCTTCACTTTACTCAGATGTTTTCATACGTTGATAATACTGACTACCAGAGGTGATGTTTAGGAAGGACTCTCATGATTTTCTTGAAAATCCTCTTCTAATTCTTACATCTTTTGTTTTACTTGTTAAAGCAGATACGATTTGCTTACCTGTTTCAGGTATTTTTCCTCTACTCACAAAGATAGGAAACTGCAGCTGAAAAAAAAAAAAAAGTGTTTTTCTTAATTTAAAGAAAATCAGAAAAATCCAGGATTGTATTACATAAACACAGAAACTTGCTCCCATTCATAGTAGGACATATCTGCAAATCTAGAAAACATGAACATTCTAATGAGCATACAGAAAGTCGGTATTAAGTTTCTTAATAATAGCAAGCATTTTTCAATTTACAGTAAAAATTTGAAATGAGTCAAATCAGCCCCTAAACAAAAGAAATCATAGTAGTTTCAGTAACCTAATTGACACTAAAGTAATTGCAATAAAAATAACAAAGTTAAAAACAGTTTAAGTCAAATACATTTCTGAAAATTTAATTATCAACAATACAACAAAAGTTCAGTGCAGTCAATTTATGTAGTAACACATACAGATTTGCAGAATTATAAATCACCAGAATTTTGTATTTATTCAGAATGCAGAAAGAGCTACGTATAATTACGTAGTCTCCTATGAGGACTGTCCAAAAAAATACAGTTGCTTTCATCACCAGCTACCCTAGGATGTCTATGCATCTTTGAAGTAGCAACATGTTCTCAAAGCAGCCTAGGGAAAACTGTCATGAAAAGATAGTATCTCACCCTTACAGAACCATTATCTCAGATGGAGGGCAGATATCGCTCCTCCTGGAGCCAGCCTGTAACTGACTGACACACCCATCAGTCATCACTAAGAGGTACAAGACCTTTAAAAGAGTCGAACTAGAACAAGATGATTCTGTTCCAGTACTGAGGGTCCCAAGTTATATCTATTTCTGAGGGGAATTTAAAAATTAGTTTTAATTCTTATTTGAACACAAACAAACCAACCCCCCAAAAAACAAAGCAAAAAAACCCCAAACACCAAAAACCACACCAGTTCAACTTATTTTTGATTAAATTTATATTGGGGGAAAAAAAAAATTGATAAGGAAAGATTAGGAATTCAGAAGCAAAACTCCACCAGACCTGTAGAAGGGATAGGACTTAAATGGCTGCCTGAAATGCTGCAGGGATAGAACAAGCAGGGACAAGAACTCCTGCTGTCTATAGCCTAGGTAAATTCTCAAGACTTCTGACACCCATGCCAGTTGGCATTTCACCAGGCAAGCAGTCAGAAAATGAGTTTCAGTACAACTTCTTTTTTAAAAAAGATCACCCCTTTCTAAGCCGTAACATTCCTGACATACAGGAATTCCCAAGAGAGGAGCCTTCCACCAGAATAAATCCAACTAGTTGAACTCTGTACAAATATCCTGATCCATTACTACTCTAATCCAACTGGATTACAGAAACACTGCCAACAGAATACTTTTTTAGCAGTGAAAGTACTTCATGGGATTAAGAAATTAATATCCTGCTGAGCTTTAAAAGATAGAGCTCTGAGCTTCATGAGTCACTAGCCAGCATGTCTCTATTTTCTGAATACACTGTACACATTGTAATCTAGATAGTACAAATGCGTTACACAATATTTTATTTTACAAATATTGAGAGTTACTATAAGCTATTATTATTATAAGGTTCACTAGAGAGAAAAAAAAAAAATCTCAAGTTTTCAAACTAAGTCACCCTTGATCTCCAGGCCAAAATTACTCTCAGCACAAATTAGAAGACGTGCACAATCAGAATTTCACCCTGCGCACAGGTATATTGCTAGCCAGTGTAATACTCAGATTTGTACTAAGTATGTTGTACTAAGTTTGATTCTGCCAGGTTATTTGCTGTGCTCTGACTTAACAGTATATTTTGCTTACAAAGCTCAGTTATATTAGGAGATACTATTAATAGTTTTTGTTTGCTTAGACTGAACTCAACTATCAAGTTTTCCATAAGATGTTTCTGAAATACTGTTAAATGTTAAACAGATAAATGGCTCTTGAATTACTGTGTTTAAATGCACCCAAACAAAATAAAGGCACTTACATTCCCAGTGCTCATATCAGCTTTTGACTCCCCACCTGAGGGAAGAAATACGAATTCAGAACTTGAACATCACTGTTTTCCTTGTTTTTCCACGCAAGTATTATGAACTACTTACCACCAGGCTGTACAGCTTCAAGAGGGTATTTACGGGGCCTTCCCCTTTTCCGTTTCACTATTACAGGCTGATTTTCCTATTAAAAGTAAAGGACAAAAATATTTTAGTTACTGTAATTGACATTTAGCATTTGAGCAATATAATACAAAGATGATAGTGTCAGAAGTAGTGCTCGTCAGTTTAAAAATATTGATGAAGCAGGTTCCATAGGAAAAGGCACCACTTGTCATGAAATCCATTGATATAGCTGAAAAGAAACAACTGCAAGTACTATTAAATGTAGGAAGAGAGTTACTTCTACTTCAGTTATCAACCACTGATGTCCTGTGGTCTATGAGTTTCTATTTTTTGACACGAGTCTTTGGTACTTCACAGTACCAAACATAAATTTTCACAGCTATTTCTGTGTTGATGAAGTTAAAGTTTTAATATTGCTGTCAACAAAATACAAAGACGTTATTTTCAGTGTGAACTTGCATTATCTCAGTTAGTTAACTCACCTCTGGAGAATTTTCATTTGATTCTAGACCATGTTTTTCTTTTTCAGACATTTCCTGTTCAATGGTAAATTCATCTTCACACATAAAAAAAAAAATCAAGAAAGAAATTGTACACCTTTGTTTTATTAGACAATGGCACAAGCCACAACTTCTGCACTAAAAGCATTATTTCATTCTGTAGCCCAAAATTACCTAAAAACACCCATGAGAAATTAACACTATTTACCTTGTAGCAACAACATATTGATCTCAAATGTTTCCCTAACACTAGATGAGTTAGACAGGTTTTCTAATTTAAGGTAAAAACAAAAGCTCAAGAGTGTGACTGACTGTACAATGCTAAGATAAATACAAGCCACTGTTCAATTTTCTCCCATGTTACATGAAACAGGAAGCTAAAGATGCAAGGTCATTGCAGAACAGTTTCAGACTTGTCAACATGCTCACTGAAGAGAGAAAACTATTAATAGGTCCAACTCACATTAGGGAAGATAGTCAAGAGTGTTCATACAAAGACAGACTAAAGTTACAGCAAAGCCAATATTAACACTGTGGACACATCATCTTTTATTATTTATTTCAGTGCAATTAATAAGTCACCTACGACAGTGCAACTTGTGCACTCTTTCCTGGTTGGTTTCTCTACAGAAACAAATAGGATTGATTTTGATGGTGAATATGTAATGGCTTTTTTCTATGGAAGGACGCCTCTTATTTGTGGTCAGTTAGGAGAAGTTCTTCTTGTCACATACCCCAACTGTGCTATTTCCCTATCCAGCTGCTTATTTCCAATTAGCTTTCCTACCTAAGGTACACACTGAAGCAATAAGAGTATATGGGTGATAGCACAGCAGAAGCATAAATCTGCTCTCACCATTAAAAGAACTAGGATTAATGCATTATTTCATAGCAGTAACAGAACAGACAGCAACTAGAGAATATACACAAGTATGTGCTGTCATCAAAGTTGCTGGTATCAAACTGGGATCAAGTTCCTAACTTCTCTCAGAATCATTCAAATGAAAATAAATTAGCATTCAGTATGGGTTTTGAAAATCACCCACAATGGGCAGTTTTATTACCTTTTTCTTCCATAGTACTTTCAAGAGGTGCATGTTTTACATCAGTTTCTTTGGATACTTCTGTTGTATCGCCTGAAATAACTTCCTACATTATTTTGAAACAACAAAGAAAAGAACATCTTACTACAAATTAAAGATCATTACCAGTTACTTATACTAAGAAAAAAACCCAAAAACAAGCCACCACACAAAAAACCCACCACACCTTAATACACAAGTAGTAATTTAATTCATCAAGATTTTGCAATGCCTTTTAAAAACTCTGATGCTGAGAAGCTTCATCAAAATCAATGGGTGAGATAGTCCCAAATTTTCTGTATGTACTCTTAGAAGGAACGTCTATTTTGTCCTGAATTCCTGTTTTGACCTAGAAGGGATCAGTGCAAACCCAGAACTCTGGTGAAGTCTGATGCCCTCCTGCAGATCTCAGATCAGTGTGACCACGAAGATGCTGAACTGACTGGATACCTGGGATCCAACAATGCTCCATGTGATCCCAGGTTCCTAACTATTGTGCAAATCGGTCTACCACAGCTCAAATGGATTCAGGTGCTGTGCACAACAGCACAGATCCCTTTTTTCAAAAAATTGTCTCCCCCTTGAAAAGTGACTATTGTTTCTATAGTCAGTTATTTTGTATTCAAGACAATGCAGAAGTAGTTTACAGTTAACCATGTAAATATCTCCCAAAATAAACTGCTACAGAAATAAAAACTTAAGACTTCCATCCTGTTTACACTACGACTACAGAACATTAAGAAAACTGTTCTTGAAAATACCTTGATGTTATCAGGTTTCGTTTTGGAACACTGACTTTGTTCATCATCTTTTCTCACATCCTGAGTGCTCAATTGGTTGTCTGCAAAAACAAACAACAGCTCAAGTGTTAAGAAAAGTGCCTTCTGAATTTGTCAGATTTTGATGCCACTTTTATATCAGCTCATCATTAGCGTGACTCAAAAGATTCTGAAAAGCAGCATCTTATTTACAAAAATATGAACAGAAAGTTATGCTAAATGTTCTGTGAAAAGGGAAAAGAAAAAGACTTCCATGTTTCTTGTATGTTACCAGTCAGGTTTGGGTTTTTTTTGTTTGTTTGTTTTTAAATATAAGCTCAAAATGTAAATTTGACAGGTACAACATCAAGAAATAAAACATCAACTTTAACTTCAACTCACCCAGAGACAGAGAAAGCAGTTAATGCTATATGGGACAGTATAATGAATACAGCATGGCTTCTAATTATCCCTTCATCAAACAAAAATTCTTAGAAGCAGAATAAAAACTGATATTAAAAAAGACATTAATTAATTATCTTTTTTTTTTAATTGTTCTGATGCTAAAAAGACAAAATCGGTTGAGGTCAGAACTTGAATACATATTACATAGTCTCGTAAATATTCTGACAACAAAACGTCTAACTTATTTTTAAATTAACTTTATCTAACTTTAACTTAGAAATATTTATGTCATTCAATGGACTGACTTCTCACTTTTTGCTTCTATACAGATAAAAGGTTACACTAAAACTTAGTTCTTTCCAGTCTAACAGAAGGAAACATCCAGCCTGGAAAGCCTGTTGAATGGCCTCTGATGATCACCTTTCCTCAGCTTTATATTCCTTCTCTGTGTTTTATTTAAAAATGATAAAATTAGTAATTATTTTAAATACTAAACAAACAGTTTGTTCACTTACCATCAAAAAAGCTACTACAATACTCTTTTGTGCAGTATTAAATTTGTTACCATATTTTAATCAAATATATTACGTGTAATATTAAAAGCTGTTTTAGGAAGAACAATTACTTTGGCGTTTGGAAATCCCCATAATCCATTTTTTCATCCAAAATACCATGTTATGGTCTGATCACAGAAGAAAAGTTTTACACAAATTCGTGTAGTTCTGTATCACTTACATTCTTCTTTATCCATTGCTCCCGAAGATTTACATTGTATTCCTCTATATCTATGTTCTTCAGTTACCTGGGCATCCAAGTTTTCCACCTAAACATACAACACAAATAAAGGTAACTCTTTACCTTCTTTTTTCCATAAAGTTTTTGAACACAGAAGGGAGAAAGTTTTTGCTACTTGCTACTTTCAAGTACAACATACATGAAAATGTGAAGTAGCAGTATTACAAAAGCAAATTATTTCTAGAGCTCAAGTAGTGTTACTACGATAGGACAGCATCATGAAAGAACTTTAGACTCATAGTATTTTCAGAATTTCTTATTAATATTTTTCATTAAAACAGTCTCCATTTTAGTTAAGCACCCTACTAAGCGCTTCAAAAGCAGCTTACCATGGCAAATCACACAAAATATTTTTGGATTTAAAAGGACACTCTCAAAGGACACTCTCCTACGTACAGAAACAGAAGTAGTATCTAACTAGCACCAGAAATGTGGCCAACCAGCATTATAATATAGTAATAAATAACTTTACTACTCAATTTTAAGAAACCACAAACATATTTTTTAGTCTGTCATCTGTGTTTAAATGTCTTGTTTCTGCTTCATAGGAAACAATTTATATTTGCAACTTTCCCAGTCAGTCCTTCTATACTTATAAGGTCCAAGCTCTTGTGAGATCACAGTAGACTACATTAAAATAACAGGTTTCTAGTCCTGATCAAAAGCTCCAAGAATAATCCCTAATTTTGTCCTCTGTTCTCAGAGAACCATCAAGTTTCTCTTTTCTGCTAGGTAACAACAGTCTTGAAGTAGTCATAAGACTGTGGAACAACACCACAAGATTTATTTATGGGCAAATTTGAGAGAATAAGTAGACATCAACCTACACAGCCACATGTTCTCAATATACACAGGCTTCTGAATATACAAAAATAGTATTTTCCTTTAGAGTGTATTTAATGTAAATATTCACAAATGTAAGTAAGAAAAAAAAAAAAGCAGCACAGATCTAAAGAGTAAATTTAAAAACCAAGAACTTACATGAAGAGTTTCTCTTTCTAAACCAATATTCCTCTGCAGCAAATCTATTAAAAAATAATTACAAAAATAATCAGAAAAGCTAAGCAAGAGCGAAGTATCATAGCGTCCTCTACTTCACCTCTCTGAAAGGATTCCAGAGTACCTGAAACTATATAAAATTTATTTTCAATGTTTTAAATAAGAGGCATCCGATCTTCTCTTTAATAACATTCAAAGAAAAAAAAAAAAAAAAAAGAATATGGATTTCTGGAGTATAGAATAACTGAGAATCATTTTATGTCTAAAATCATTTAGACATTTTATGTCTAAAATCACAGGGTTGTAATCTTTAAAGTACAAGGTATCCTTGACCTTTCAAATATTGTTCCAGCATCTGAATGAATCAGAATTTTATCCATCACAACCTTAGACACTGGATCATGGGATGAAGTAAAACGTGATGAAAACTATGCTGTAACATTATGCTTCCAGAGATCTAAATTTTGCATAATTGTACTAGTGAGACCTGTACCTGATACAGTGCACATATGGACATTGTCCAATTGCTAGACTCTACTGTACTCTAACTCTGATACAGAGCCTTAGCCTTCCATATCACAAAAATGTAGAAAATAATTATCAATTATGGGAGCTGATGAGTGCTCAGCACTTTGGAAAAAATTCCAAAACTTTCAAAACCATTTCATATAGATATGTAAAAGGAATCCTAAGGAAGCTGTTCCATCAAGCATTCTACAAAACTCTTAAAGTCTGATTCATAAAGACACTGAATTAATATTTTAATTTAAAAAATAGCTGCTAAAACATTCCAAGCAGTTTTCCTTTCCATTACAGTAAAAACAAACTCATGATCCAATAAAACCACTCTATTCTACATAAAATTTTATATAATTTGTAGCTCATTTCTTAACACTATATGTTTTAGCAACAATTCTTCCACAGCTATACTATTCAGTTGCACAACATCTTTCAATTTTTAAAACAGTGTCAAATGAAGAGCCAGATCCTATCCACTCAAACAGCAATGATTTGTTTACATTCCAAGGAATCTTGGACTACTAAACTACTGTGTCTGCTGTTCATACTCATGACAGGACACACATTTGTCTTTTAAACAACTTCCTTTTACGTACGTTGAGCTATATGTATATATGTATGCATAGATATATAAAGAGAGATTATTGTGTGGCGGGGGAGAAAAAGAACAAAACTCTAGCAAGCATTATTCTTCACTGTGTCACATCCAACATGATTTACACAACAAATGGATTTTTGTTAAACACTTTACTTAGAACAAGATTATGACAGCTAGCTCAATCTGTACATTTTAAAATTTAAGTCCTCTCTGTCTGGGTGACTGAATGATGCGAAGTGGCACAGTTTTTCAGGCACTTCAAAGAAACCTCACAGTACAGAAAAACTGCTTCAAGTTTTGGATCTGCTGTCCCGAAAACCACATTCTTCTAACTCATTCTCAGGGTTTGCATTTTCTTTCTTGTAAGTGGAGCATGTCTATTATCACTTAGATGAAAATATACCACCATTAAACCAGGTATGTGAATTTGACCTATCCCAAGTATAAAAAGGAATCCAAAGTCTTAAACCAATGCTCACATCTCACCTTACTCCTACTTTTGTTTTCTATTTGGTAAATGGATATTTTGGTACGCATGTCTAAAAATTTAGAAGTGAGCTTAACCGTGTGTCCTTTCATATAATTTAGGCTTTCAGTTGCAACTTGCTGGAAATGCATATTTAACCTCTTTGGACTTTAGATGCAGCACTATTGCTGATACCTCTTGGAATTCACTTTAGTTTTGCTTGTTACTCCATTAACTGAAGATTAACTCTGGTAGTGTTGCAAACATCTTTAATACAAATACATCTGCAGAAGAAAATCCATCAAGATGTGAACAAAGTGGAGGTTTGTTTCTGTTTTAATAGGAAAGCCAAACAATTGCAACACATTTAAAAATAATATGATTTTGGGAAACAGACTTTTTTTTTTTTTTGTCCTATTGAAGATTAATGTAATATATGGAAAAGGAATTACTGAGCACAGATCCAAGCTGACTAATTGAGATTTCTAGCTAAGTGATTACCTACTTAAAAGTGCTACTTCAAATTTCCAGAAATATTTTACTTATTTATATATATTTA